CAGCAATCACTGGGTGAAAGCACAGGTTATGGCAGCTAGGGATGGTCCTGCCCTCTACCACAGCATCCTGCCAATTCACTCTGGAAGTGCAGAGCTGCCCCGCTGAGATTCCAGGGCTGTCCCCCCTAAAAGGATCCGTGCTCAGGTGTCAGAGCCCCCTGACAGAAAAGGGAAGTGTGCATTTTCTGTGGCTGCTGCTCTGAGAAGCAGAAATGAGCCGTGAAGGATCACCCAGCCCTGCGGTGGCTCCGGGCCCGCCCTCACCTGGCAGCAGCACAGCCAGAGGCTCCCAGGTGTATCCCACACCTGAGCACTTTGTCCTTGCCATGGGACAAGCCTTCCCACACGTGCCTTGCACACACAGGGAGAGCAGCCCGGGCAGTCACCCAGCACGGGCTCCTTTGGCTTTCCCAGGGAGCCCTGCAGTGATAACACACCTCTGCTTCCTTTCTGCTCCGAGCAGCAGCAGCACCTGAAAACCCAACTGTCCCTTAGCAGTGACACTGCAGACACCCCCCAGGACACTGGGAGATGTGGATGGACAGTGCTGCATCCCAGGGGCTGGGAAATGTAGAACCTGTTCCACCTTGACTGCTGCCTGTCCCTTCCCTTCTCCCCACGCTGTGCCACTGCTGCAGGGAACAAAGGAACAGCAGAACACTGGCACTGGTGTTTCCTGGCTCAGATAGAAAACAACATTTTAACAGCATTATTCCAGTAAGGTTTCCCTCCTTTTCCTAAAAGCTACAAGAAGGTCTGGATCTGGAAACTCACTCTCACATCACTGAGTCCAACCTGACAGCTCTGTTAACTCTTGTTGTTCCACAGAGGAAGAGCCACCTTTCCATGTAAGTGAGGAAAACCAGGATTTCCCTTACCTGGGCTGCAAAAAACTCAAAAGGCTGTGTGTTCTGTCATTAATGCAACACAAAACACTAAGGATGTAGGACTGGAAGGGGAAAATTTGGAAGGGGTTGCCCAGAGAGGTGGTGGAAGCCCTACCCCTGGAGATGTCCAAGGAATGACTGGACATGGCACTCAGTGCTCTCAGCTGGGTGACAAAGTAGGGATTGGTCACAGGATGGACTTGGTGACCTTGGAGGTCTTTTCCAGCCTCAGTGTTTTGGGGATTCTGGGAAATGCAAGTCACTAAAGAATTCAGCAAGCAGCACACCACTAACACCCAAGAGAAAAAACAGTATTTCCACAATTCCTGGCAGTAAAAAAAAAATAAATAAAAAAAATCCACAGCACCAATTCTGGATGGAAACACTCTCAGTGTGCACAGAAGGGTCCAGCCACCCCCAGGCTGGGAGGGGCAGAGCAGCATTCCCATCCCAACACCACACTCACACAAGCTGCACCCTCTGGAAGAGCACATATACCCCGGGCTGAGCACCCCAGCAATTCCCTTGGCTGGGAACCACCCACAGGCAGTGGCTAAGGGGCTGGAACTGCTCAGAGCCCCTTCCCAGAGCTGCTGGGAGCGCAGTGCCCGGGCGCTGCTGCTCCCCTGGGCTCACCGTGTGCGCGCTGAATTCCGGGAACATGACGCACGTGGCTCCCACCCACAGCGGGCACTGCAGCTTGTTGATCACCCCGTGGACGTGGTGCAGAGGCAGCACGTGCAGGATCACATCCTCCTTCTTCCACTCCCACTTCTCAACCAGCCCCGTGGTCTGAGGAGAAAACAAACAGCACGGCCTTAGGGCAGGAGGAAGCATTTCCCGAGGTATTCCCCACAGTATTCCCAAGTCATTCAATCCCCAAATTCCCTGGCAGGAATGCCAAGCCTGGGCATAAAATCTTTCCTTCAGCATCAGCAGAAGAAAAATTCCCAGCACAACAGCAGAACACAAGAGGAACACCTCCAGCATGTTATCAAAATGGTTCTTTAAATCAGCAAAGCCCTGCCTCGTTACTGAGAAATATCAACAGTGATTTTAAGTAGGACATACAAAAATATTAATCTACTGCTGCACATGCAGATTTGGCAGCAATAGTAATCAAAAAGCTAATTTTCCCAGAATTCTGTTGCCATAGTTAGGACACTGATGACATCAGGCTTTTAGCACCTGTAAGGGATAATCAGTAGGAGCAGGAAATTGCTGATAAACAGAAAGTAGGTTTCATGTTAGTAAAAATTATGAGAGAATCAAGCTTCCAAAACACTCTGCTCTGAAGGGATAATTATCTGAAGGGATAATTATCAGGTTTCTGGGTCAACAATGCCCTTCAGAGCCCAGTGCTGGCAACTGCAAAGCTTATTTCCAGCCACCTAAAAATAAGAAAAGCATCTGAGCAGTGGAATTTGGTCGTGTCTCTCACAGGAACCCTCATCCACAGGGCAGGGAACAGCTTTCAGGCTTCCTGCAGGGCAGCACAAAGGATGGGGGACTGCTCAGGCCACCCCCCAAATAATCAGCATGTTTGTGAGGGAACAGATTCTTTGCCCAATATAGCCAAGGCCTGGCTCCATCCATCAAGGCTTTCATTCCTGTTGGGACCCTGCAGGATCTGAGCACCCCAAGCAGCAGCAGCTCTCAGGGCACCCCTGAATTCCCTGCCCTCCTTCCCTAATGGCAGCAGGCTGGCAGTTGCAAGCCCTGATAACCAAGTGGTGAGGCAGTCAGCAGGCTTATTCAAACTTTTAATTCCTTTTGGCTCCAAGAGCTAATGGATTTTTTTGCCTTGGGGATACAGAGCTGAATAATGCACAGGCTTCACACAGCACCGGGCTGGGCTAAGATATCTTCCAATTAGGAGCAAAGATTCTCCCCTAGTCAGAGGGCAGAAAAGCAAACTGCAAAGAAATCAGCTTTTTCACAAGAGGTTTCATCCATTCTGCTTTCCAGGAAAGCAGGGAGGAGAATCCACCTGCCCTGCCAAGGCTGAGAGCCTCACACGCTGCTGTGTGCTCACCTTCCCAGCGTGGAGGATTCCAGAGCTGCAGCCCCACAGCTCTCAGCAGGAATTTGGCAATGGAAAGGCGTTTGCAACACCAAATCCCCTCCAGATCCCAAGGCTTTGTACCTTGGCAGGAGCCTGGCAGGGGGGCAGCAGCACTCACCACAGCCTGCACGTTCTCGTGGGTGCTGAGCACACCCTTGGGCCTCCCCGTGGTCCCGCTGGTGTAGATGATCATGGCTCCTCTGTCCTTCCACGAGGAACAGCTCGGCAAGGGCCCCTCCTCCGTGGCTGCAGCGGATCCACCAGCCCCAGAGCTGGGAAGGGGCAGCACAGGGACTCCCAGTTTCTGGGCACTGGGGGTTATTTTGCCCAGGAACTTCTCGGCTGTGATGAGCAGGGCGCTCTGGGAGTCCTGGATCACGTACTCCAGCTCGGGCACAGGGTGCTTCCTGTACAGGGGCACCGCTATGGCCCCGCTCATCCACGCAGCCCACTGGGCCACCACGTAGGAGGCATCGTTGGGGCACAGGAAGGAGATCCTCTCCTCCTTCAGGTCCCTGCTGGGGCACTGCAGGACGCTGCAGATCTCCCGGGACAGGCGGAGGCTGCGGCTCAGCAGGTCCCTGTACGTGTGCTCCCCGTTCCGGTCCACGATGGCCACTTTGTCCCCAAACGCCGGGGCCCTGGTGAACACGGGGGTGATGTCACTGCTGCAGGGGGCCCAGGCTGTGTGCAGAGCCCTGTGGGGACAGCCAGCCCTGCTCCCATGCTGTGGGCAGCGGGACAGGGCCCGCAGGAGGCAGCGGAGGGGCCGGCAGCGCTGGGGGCAGAGCAGGGGGAGCAGCATCCTGCCGGGCTGGAGCGACTCTGCAGAGAGCAATGATGGCACATCAGCAGGGCAGGGATTGCTCAGGGGGTTATTCCCACCCAGGCAAAGCGGCAGCCCTCATCTGAATAATATCCACTGTATTATTTATGTCCCTGCCTCAGAGTGCCACATCCTGGGCGGCCTGAGCATCCCTGGGTCCTGGCACAATGGAACAGGAGCAGAGATCCTTCCCTGCACAGCCCCCAGCCCCTAAACCCAGCTCATTTAAATGATGAACCAGCTTTCACAGAATCCCAGAATGGTTTGGGCTGGAAAGGACCTCAAAGCCCACCCAGTTTCACCCCCTGACACCTTCCCAGTGTCCCAGGCTGTTGGCAGGCAGGGGGTGAAATGAGAAAGGCTTTAAGGTCCTTTACAAGCCAAGACATTCCAGGATTCTGTGAAGAATCCTAAACCCCTCTGCACAGCCTGGAGCACCCCCTCCATACAGAGAGCAGAGAGGAGAGCACAGGGCTGAGAGAGGGAGGGATTTGCTGCACAGAATCCAATCAGCACCAAAACATCCCCAGAGAGGTTCCATGACAAGAGGAGGCAGCCAAAGGCTGACAAGCTCTCACTCTCCGAGAGCGTCCGTGACACTTCCCTGACGCTGCCAATAACAACCTGATCTTCCCTGTTATTTCTGATAAATGCCTATTAGTGCAGCAGCTCAGCTCCAGGAGCCTCCCAGCCCAGCTCCCCAGTGTGGGGAGGAGCTGGAACAAAGGGGAGCCAGCCCAGCAGCCCCCCAGGGCAGAGCTGACCAGCCTGCCCCAGCTCAGGCTGCACAAACTGCACACACCGTTCATTTTCCGTGAGCGCTGCGGTCGCTCCCCTGCGCCTTCGGAGCATTTCCCCACCCAGACACTGGCCCTGCTCACATCTTCTTTTGCAAATCGACCTCAATTTCTGCTTCTGCAAAACAAGCAGGTGATTTAGGGTGGAAACATCTGGGGGAGCAGAGAGGCTGCAGCCCCAGAGCGGGTGAGCGTGGGAACTCCCGACGTTTGCCACCGGCATGGAAAAAAACAAAGCAGCTCAAGGCAGAGCTCATGTGATGTCTCTGCATTGCTCTGGAGAGCCTGAAATGCAAAAACCTGACCTAATTCACACCCTAAAGTGAAGCTGTGGCCATGGCAAGGTGTCAGTGCCCTGAGCATGATGAGGAGCATGAACTAAAAGCCGGTTTTGCCCAGGACCAGCATGGCCGATGCTCTCACTGTTCCTCCAGCTCCTTCCAAAAATCAAATTACCCCGTTCCACCAGTCGGTGTTTAATGGAGCAATTCACAGCAGCACCTCCAGCCAGGCCTGGGAATGCTGGGTGCTCCAGAGCTAGGCTGCAGATTTACCCCATTTACACATGGGGTAAATCCAGGGGCTGTTTGCCATCCCCTCCTGCTGCTCAAGGACCATTGGTGGCACAAACTCCAGCAGAGCATACCTGGAAACAAGACTTGTCCCTGGATCCCTGGGAAGGTGAGGGCAGGGCAGAGATGTGGTTCTGCTGCCTTGGAAGGGAAAGGTCAAATCCCCTGGAAGGGAAAATCTGAGCCCTCCTCCTCCTCCTCCTCCTAAGGCTCAAGATCTCAAAGCAGCTGGAGGGCTCTACCCAGCTCCCAGCACAAAACCAGTGCAAACTGGGAGCTGACCCACTGCACAGCCCTCTGCACTTTCCGAGCACAAAGGGCATAAAATGCATTTCCTGGAGAAGAATGACCTTTGGAGTTACTCTGAGCTGCTCCAAGGTGAATTATTATAGGAACAATCACGGCTCCAGCCGTGACTGGGTAGCTGCCAGGGTGAGCCTGACCTGCAGGACTCCACCCTTTCCTCATT